ACCGATGTCTCCGGAGGCAGTGTTGGACAAGGCCAAAACACTTGTGCTGCAGAACCATGGAGACCCAGCAAACAGAAAACACTTGCTGGGTTTCTTTGAAATTCAGTTTGGTGTCTTCCGTGGGCAGACATTTAAGTGGGTTCTTGAAAATGCATTGGGGTATGCTGCTTACCTGGTAGCTGCCATGAAAAGGGACCCCACTGGTGGCAGCAAAGACTGGAAAGCACACGCAGAAAACAAAGTGTGCTTCAAGGAGTATATGGAGATGTTTCCTTCTGGCAGAATTGCTATTGCCATGAAAGAAGAACAACATTCTGAGAAAGGGCCTCAACAACGTCTGCCTACACAGGTTGATTTAAAACCAGATGGTGCTGAAACGACCCAGCCTTTACTGCATGCTGCAAATTATTTACTGATTCCATATTGTATTTGGCAGGTGAACTTCTCGGAGTAGAATATTTATACCAGCAAACTGGTAAAGTTCTTCAGGACTACAAAGTGGCTATTGAAGAATCAGAGACCACAGATGTCGAGGTGGATGAAGGTTTTACTGAAGCTGAGGAGGAGTTTCTTGATATGACTTTGGCCACCATTGAGACAGAGGAAACTGATGCTGCCTTTCAGTCATCCACRTCATCAGCAGCCGCAGCCAGCTCCACACCTGCCACACTTGTGCCACCATCAGCAGCAGCAGCAGCAGCCAGTTACCCACCTGCTCCTGTCCAGTTTGTTGCCCCTCCAACTTGGATGTGGTCACCAGCAGCAGCCGCATCCAGCTCCACACCTTCTACTGTCCAGTTTGTTACTCCTCCAACCTGGCTGAGGCCACCACCACTACCAGCAGCAGCAGCACCCAGCTCCACAGCTGTTTCATCTGTTACTTCAGATACAAGTTGCTGTGAGTTTTTTTAATTATTTAAATGATTTTAGTTTTTATTTTTGCAGCAACTCTAAAACTACACTTGCAATAAAAATGTTAACTATCTGAATGTATTTACATTTTAATTGTATTAAATCTTGTATAAATGTATTATAATTATATTTGTGTCCACAGTAGTCCAGTTTTTAGCGGACACAAGGACTGAACCACCTGAGGAGTCCTCAATACMTGATGTAAGACATTTTTACTCATGATAAACAGTGTGTAGGACTGCTGTGTCAACAGGACTTAATGCTTTTTCTTTTTTAGAGRTCAGTTGGTCCTGATAATGTCGCATTTTTGAGTGCAGATCCACTGAGAAACTTCTTGTTTCAGCAACATTTAATTTAAAAACTGTACTTTTGAGGTTAAACAAATGTTCAAAATTAATTTAAATAAATTACAAGTTAAAAGGGGCATGGAAATTTCTCTTTTTTGTATCGAAAAAATATTGAACCGTGGGATTAAAATATCGAACCGAACCGACTTGCGATCTGTCCAGGTGTACCCGCCCCTCACACTGTGACTGCTGGATAAGGGCACCAGTGATCTCCGTGACCCTGTAAGGAAGTGGTTATAGATGATGGATGGATGGATGGATGGATGGATGGATGGATGGATGGATGGATGGATGGATGGATGGATTTTTCTATAGTGTTGGTAATGTTTTTTTTCTTAAAC